TTATTATGCTTCGAATGTTTGCTATCTACTGAACCTTGTGCTACTATTGTATGCTATTTCTTTTGCCAATAGGTTTGGCCTCGCATGTCTAGTGTTTGTTCACACTATTTATATGCTGAAGTTCCTTCTTTGATTGATCTTCAATCTTGGGACTGATTTCAAAACTTTTCTTTTATGAACCATGATTTTACTCGCCTGTTTAGAATTGATTGATTCCCTTCCCTTTATTGTAATATTTACCTTGCTGAATCTATTTCCAAAATAAGTATATTCCTGTACTTAGACTCGATTGCTTACTTAATGTTCTTACTACTTCCTTTATGGCAATAATTAGGCTGTCTCTAAATTTATTTCCTTCCTTATTTTGAATCCGTTAAACAGTGATTCCTTAATTAAAGGGAATCGCTTGTATAATTGATTCTGACTGATTGTTTCCATATTTGCACAAAGATTTTACTTGTTACCTCTCCTTCACTCGTTTTCAAAAACCTATAAATACCCTGCACCCCTCCTCTTTCAAAGACACGAACACAAGGAATAAAAACACTTGAGTTTAGAACACACACTCCACTAAAACTCTCTCTCTTTTCTCTGTTGCTACTTGTGTTGCTGCCTTACCTAGCCGGCTGAAAGCCAAGGCTAGGAAGCTTGCTTACTTTTCTTTCTACATTTGCATCTTCACTGGTATGTTCTAACTAATTTTTCAGCATCAACAACAACATGTTTCTTTACTATTTCCTTCACCCTTGCTTGTTTCCCGCTTGTGTTTAATCAAGTCCCATTACTAAGTATGCTGTAATCTGCCCTTTCCTCTTTTGAATTAATGCTTTCTTATGTATGAACTCTGTCAGTCACTTATTATGACTTTTATTATGACTTATGAATCCTAAACCCCCATATCCCCTATGTGTTTGATATTCCTTGGTTGGTTTGGGGCATGTCAGCACTAGACATTGCTGAGCATGACCCAAACCCGACCTCCTTGGGGTCATAACCTCCATATCCCCTCTATGTGTTGTGTTCTCTGACTGGTTTATGGGCATGCCAGCACCATCTATTGCTGTGCATGCCCAAACTTGATCCCTGCCTAAGGACATGTGCTCCTTGCAATGTATTCAAACCCCTGACCCCCCTTTGTATGAAAATGCTGATTCTGTGCTTTACTATTACTTTCCCATCACCCTACCCCTCTCTGTTCTCCACTCAGTTTTAAATCTCTATTCCTGCACTTCCACCATATTCTTAGACTTAGGTTCTGCCTCTCTTGTGTGAGCCTTGCCTTGGGACCCATGAGTTCCCTCTGAACTTGGACACATAAGGGCTGGCCCTTCCACACTACACTTATCTCTATCTAAGTTCTGCAAACTTGGGTGTAAGCATTGCCCGGGGTCCTTTGAGACCCTTAGGGAACTTTGACACACCCAGGTCTGAGAAAGGCCCTGGAAACGAAAAATGGTATATGAGGTGATTTATTCCCTAACTCAGAGAGGAAGTCAAGAATCAGGCTTCCTCTGGTTGTAACTTCTTTTGTTTTATATTTTTTTTGATGTAATTCAGTATTTTGGTTTGTTATAATTTGTAATAAACACTCGGGGTTGGCTAGTGAAAAGGGATGGGTAATATGCATGTTTAGTTGTTTGAAGGGTAGAAAACATGCCTATAGGACTGGTTTTAAATTCTGCGTGTTCAATTCTACATTTAGATAACCTGCCTATAGGACTTACTTTAAATTCTGCATGTTCAACTTTACATTTAGACACCATGCCTATGGGATCTGTCCTCTAATAAATTCTGCATGTTTGACTCTACATTTAGATAACCTGCCTATAGGACTTGTTTAAAATTCTGCATGTTCAACTTTACATTTAGACACCATGCCTATGGGATCTGTCCTCTAATAAATTCTGCATGTTTGACTCTACATTTAGGTAACCTGCCTATAGGACTTGTTTAAAATTCTGGATGTTTGTTACCACACTTAGACACCATGCTTATTAGGATCTAAACGGCTATAAGCAGATATCATGTTCATAATGTTAAAATCTGTATTTTCATAGAAATCATGCCTATAGGAATTCCCGAGTAAAATCCTGCCTGTTTCCACTTCACGTTCAACTAGATATCATGTCTATAGGAATTAAAATCAGCAACACTAGATATCATGTCTATAGGAATTAAAATCAGCAATAATGGATATCATCGTTTGTAGAATCTGAAACCAGTCTAGCTTAAAATCCGCCTAATTCATACTATTCTGAACTAGTTTTTTTTAAAACAACTTACTCTCCCCTTGTTAACACGGTTTAGCAAGCATGCCTATAAGATCTCAAACCACTCGTTTTAAATTTGTTACTGCTTTGCCACGCTCTGAATCAGTAATAGATACCATGCTCATAAGATCTCACCCAAACACTTAGGCAAACCTTAGGAAATAACAACAAATAATACTGAGCCCGCTTCTGTTAACTAGTAATTGCTACAACCAGCAGGCAGGCCTGATTCGGACTTCTTATCTGAGTTACGTAATAAATTGGTCTGCTTCAACAACTTAAACTCCCCTTGCCTTAGTATTTTAGATTCAGACCTTGATTGTTGTTTGAGTCATGCTATTTGTGTGCCTTGTTTGAGGAGGTATACATGAGCCTTCAGTGTTTACGTGCTTTTCCCCTTTTTAATATGCAGTCCTATGTGTTTTGTATGTCGCCTTAGCTTTTTCACCTTTGAAACGTCAAAGTCAGTCTAATATCCCTCCCCTTTAGGAATAGTAGTCCTAAGTGCCTCCGGGACTGATAGGAATAGGATGGGTAATAGCATGCAATAGTGGTCGAGACCGATCCGCGCTTTAGTACCTTAACAGGGTGGGAAGGGTAGATATGGATATGATGACCGGTGCACTAATACCACGTGTAGCCCCTCTTTTGAGGAGTGATTACCGGGTATTGCATTGACGTGATCCATATTATAAATAAACCTAGGACCCCTCCCCTCTCTTTCTTTTCCTTTAAAGAATTATGACTTCTTTTCAAAATCAGCCTTTTAATGATTGTTCTATTTTGCTTTTATCACTTCCAAACATTTGTGTATTTAAATCCCCTCTTATTTGAGCCTTATCTGTTAATTGCACCAAATTCACAAAGAACTATCTGGCCGGGAACCACAGTAGTGGATCCTGAGGGGTGCCTAACACCTTCCCCTTAGGATAATTTCAAGCCCTTACCCTATCTCTGGTTATCAAACAAACTTAGAAGTGAACCTTATAGGTGTCCTAATGTACCCTGAATCATTAGGTGGCGACTCTTCAAATGCAAAACCCAGTGTCCAAAAGGAACGAGTTGACCTATACCCGAAATATTATAAACCCGATATCTCGATGCAAAGAGGGAAAAAGGGGGCGCGACAGCCCATCAAAACAACCTAATGAACAATACACATTGCTTCTGTTTAACCCAAACAATAGTTACTATGGTCAAAGCAAATTGTACACGGCTAAAACCAGTCTCGTAGTACGTCTAGGTCTCCGACATGATAAGCCAAGCTCGAGATATGGTAACAGGGGGGCCTAGACCGAGGTAGAGATCTCATCAATTTGGAGTCCAGACCATAACGCCTGCCCTAGAGGATATCGGGGTCGTGATTCAGATCGGTCCTAGCCTTGATCAACTTCGAAGAGCTTTGTCAGGTGATAGAGCACGGCCAACAGAAGACCGTGATATCCGTGACCGACCGAATATCACGGTGGGGATCTCGGCACATACTGAGAAGAATTCGGCAATCACTTAATTAGGAGATTTTTATCTTTTATAGAGTTGTACCTAATGTAGGATTCCCCTACTATATAAAGGGGGTCTGATTACTTGTGAAACACATTGTAATTCGCACTTCAAGGGAATATATTATTATTTTCTCTGCTAGTAGCTATCTTTCATGTTCATTAGCGCTGATCGTGGTGAGCCCGGATCAAGGTCGATTATTTCACTGGGACTGGAACTATCTCAATCGTGTGGTTTGAATCTATTCTGTCTTTGTTTATTCTTTATTTACTTCAGTAATTACTTTGTGTTGAATTAAACCACGTATCCTTAAAATAACTTACAAATTTAATTGTTATCAGATTTTGGGGGTAAACAGTTTGGCGCCCACCATGGGACTAAGGATAATAGTGGCTATTTTGATACAAACTTCTATAACACACCCTATTTTACGCTTGTTATTTGAAGTGTCTCTCATTTCGGCCAAAATCCAAAATATCGAACTCCAAGTCAGCCCATCTAATCGTAGACGCCAAATCCGGGACAACGTGGCACCCGAAAATGAGGTTCCCCTAGCCGATCTCGGCGGAGTCCCAACCGCAGACTCGATCGATGTTAGCTCGCATGTGGCCATCAATACAAATTTGCCCACCGATCCTGAGAACAACATCCGCAGAGATGTTCAATTGGTTACAAAAAGCACGCACGACGACGAAGATGGTGGGATCAACTTGCGGGTGATCTTCCCAATGTTATAGGCTCAACAGGCAGCGATAGCCCAACTCTAGAATCAGAGCCGCGCGCCGACCAGGATTGAGCACAAACCATCCCGGGAAGTCGTCCACAGAAATGAACTGACCCTCGGAGAGGTCGGATGAAAAGGAGTCGGGGACCAACCCCGAGATCAAGAAGATGCTCGAAGAACTAGCGAAACGGATAGAATCGGGGGTGAAGAAATCGAAGCCAATGACAAGAAGGTGGAAACCTACAATTCCAGGGTTGATCAAATCCCAGGAGCACCACCGATATTGAAGGGCCTGGACTCTGTTCCGAACTTTTCCTCCAAGTGCCGCTCCAAAGCCGATTCCTAAGAAGTTCCGCATGCCCGAGCTTCCTAAGTAGAACGGAACGACCGATCCAAATGTGCACGCGACTTCCTACACATGTGCCATCAAAGGGAACGATTTGGAGGATGATGAGATCGAGTCTGTCTTGGTAAAAAAGTTTGGGGAGACTCTGTCCAAGGGAGCCATGATATGGTACCATAGCCTACCTCCTAATTCTATTGACTCATTCGCTATACTTGCAGATTCCTTCATAAAAGCACACGCCGGGACTATCAAGGTCGAGAGCAAAAAGTTAGATCATTTCAAAGTAAAACAAAGGGATAATGAGATGCTCCGGTAATTCATGTCCCGTTTCTAAATGGAACGAATGGACCTACCCCGATTGCGGACGATTGGGTCGTCCAAGCCTTCACCTAGGGACTCAATGTTCGAAGCTCGTTGGCTTCACAACAGTTAAAACAAAACCCGATAGAGTATCTCGTTGTTACTTGGGTTGACATACATAACCGATATCAATCAAAAATCAGAGTCGACGATGATCAACTTGGGGCCCCTTCGGGGTCCGTTTATCCCGTCAAGGCCGTCGATATAGCCAAGAGAGACATTGATTGTGAACTGAGATCAAGCAGGGATAGTTATCAACCATATAATGGGGAGCATAGAGGTAACGGATCCGGGAGAAACCCCATAAGAAGTGAAAGGAGAAGTGATCGAGGTCAAAGCAACCAGAGACTCATGGGCGAAAATGGTTTCGACAGGCCTATCGTGCCTAAGGAAGCATCGAGGTTACCAGAATACAACTTTAATGTCGACGTTGCCGCCATTGTATCTGCCATCGGACGCATCAAGGACACCAAATGGCCTCGACCTCTACAATCTGATCCAACCCAAAGGGATCTTAACCAGATGTGCAAATATCATGGCACCCACGGCCATAAAAAAGAGGATTGCCGACAGTTGAGAGAGGAAGTAGCCCGGTTATTTAATAATGGGCATCTTCGAGAATTCCTGAGCGACCAAGCTAAGAATCATTTTAGGAATAGGGATTCTAATAAACAGGCCAAACAGGAAGAACCACAACACGTCATTAACATGTTCATCGGTGGAGTCGACGTTCCTCAAGGGCCGATGTTGAAGCGCACCAAAGTATCCATCACGAGGGAAAAATAAACTCGAGATTACGTACCAGAAGGAACTTTGTCTTTCAATGACGAGGACTCAGAGGGGATCGTGCAACCCCAAAATGATGCACTGGTAATATCTATACTCATAAATAAATCTTAAGTTAAGCGTGTGTTAATTGATCCAGGTAGCTCGGCCAACATCATCAGATCGAGGGTCGTGGAAGAGCTCGACCCACAAGATCAAATCGTGCCTGCGATCTGAGTCTAAAAGATTCAACATGGTATGTGAAACCACCAAGTGGGAGATAACACTACCGGTGAATGCCGCCAAGACCATCCAGGAAGACAAGTTTTATGTGATCGAAGAAGACATGAGGTACAACGCTTTGTTCGGGAGGCCTTGGATCCACAACATGAGAGCATTGCCCTGGACTCTGCACAAAGTGCTAAAATTCCTAACGCTAGGAGGGATTAAAACAATCTACGGAGAACAGCCAGACGCAAAGGAAATGTTTGCGGTTGAAGAGGTGATTTCGATATCCGCACTTGCAACAACAAAGGGGCCAAGTTCAGTCACAAAGCAAGAAGCTAAACAGCAATTACCAACACTAGCCTGGACCTAACCGGAGAAGCAGGGGACTGGTGAAGATGATGATTACAGGGTTCCCAAGTCTTTTATTGTCACGACCCAAAATCCACTAGGGGCCGTGATGGCGCCGAACACCTTTGTCAGGCAAGCCAACACCAAGAAGTTAATTAAATTTCCATTTTAGTATTTATTGAATTATTCCCTTTATACATTAAACAATAAATAATGAAATTCACTGAAATAAGATGATGTCTTTAACAAACTTAATATTGAATAATCCCATAATTATCCAAGAACTCGGTGTCACAAGTGCATGAGCAATTTCTAGAAAATCAAATGAAGCACAATAACTGTCCGGAATACAAATTGGACAGAAGGTAGATACTATATACTGAAAGACACTATGCCGGCTGCTGGTCGCCTCGAGAGATACAACTCACCTAAGTCTCTGTTAGGGGTGTTCATGGTTTGGTTTGGATTGGTTTTTCCCTTAAAAGAAACCAAACCAAATAAGTCGATTTTTCAAATATTAGAACCAAACCAAACCAATTAAGTCAGTTTTTCCTTGATTCAGTTTATGTCGGGTTTTATCGGTTTTTCAATTTTTGTGGTTATTTGTTGGTTTTTTCTTAAAAATAAGACATACACTACCAAACAGAAAATCCGGCGACCATATTTTCAACGTAACACTATCAAATTAATTACCTTTTGAGAAATCTATTATTTACCAAGATATTTTGTTAATAATTGAATCAAATAGTGATGAATAATTTAAGGACTCAATTAAAAATATATTATTTTTAACACGAAATAGATTCTTACACTTACCAAAAGAAAACTACCAATCAAACTAGAATGTAAAGGTAAAGAACTATACTAAAAGTGCAAACTATTAACATTCACATTAAATTTTTGAAACTTTGTATAAAAATATACATATATATAGGTGTAATAATAAATTTGAAATAGCTACTCTTATAGTTGGTTTGGTTCGGTTTTTTCCGATTTTTTCCTGATTAAAACCAAAACCGAACCAAATTTGATCGGTTTTTAAAATTCAAAACCAAAACCAAACAAAACCAAAAAGTATCGACTTTTTTGGTTGGTTTGGTTTGGTTCGTTTTTCGGGTTTTTATGAACACCCCTAGTCTTTGTATCATCCATGCTGCTACGCCCATTAGGCCGCTAGAGGTACATGTGCTTGTGTAACAAAAATGCATAGCAAGTGTAGCATGAGTACAAAAACAACGTGTACTCAGTAAGTATCAAGTCTAATCTCGAAGAAGTAGAGACAAGAGTTCGACTTCGACACTTACTAGTGGTCCAATAATAATATACCAATAATATAGTAAATCGAGGATTTTCATAAAAAGGGCTGAACTCAATAGCATGAGGCAAGTAAACAATTCTTTCTTTTATAGGAAATTCCTAAATTCATTTTCATCATTTATACATTTATCTCAGGCCAGGGAGAACAAATATCAACATCAATGAATTTCAAGGCAAGCAATACAAGCATGCGCAAATCATGCTGAGGTCGTACGACCCGATCCAACAATATTTAAATTGTGCACTACAAGTGGGTCGGATGGTGCGAACCATAGATACATCTATTACACCGCTCGCGAATAAAAAATACGATGCGGTCAAATATAAATAAACACACCAAACAGTCAATCAAGGGAAAATAGTTATCCAATAAAAGGAAATCTCTATTTTTAGAAGTCAAGAAACGATGTCTAGTCTCTTAGAAATTCATTTACACGTTCAATATGTTTTAAGCATTTTAAATTGACAACAAGATTTCAAGTATTACAAGTAAAGCATGCTTTTGGCTCCTAGACTACCCAGACTAAAGCATAATAGTAGCTACGCTCGGACTCTCGTCACCTCGTGCATATGTAGCCCCCACAATAACGACCCGACCGGTCGTGTTGAGCCCTAGCGCGTTGTTCAGCAGTTTGAGGCCATGAGCAGCTTCATTTCAGGTATTACGACTTGTACGCGTGGTCAGAATTGAATTTCGGGAAGTTCGGGGTTGATTCAGAAGGAGAATTTTCATTTCGAAAGCTTTAAGTTGAAAGAATCTACTAGGATTGGATTTTTGAGTAAACGACATTGGAATCGAGATTCGAAGATTCTAGCAGGTTCGTATGAGGATTTCGGACTTGGGCGTATGCCCGGATCGGGTTTTGGATGACCCGGGAGCATTTTGGCGCCTATTTTGGAGGTTAGCATTTTGGAAGAAATTTCATAGGTTTGGGTTGCAATGCATTTCAGTGTTACCGACGTCCGTTTGGGAATCCGAATCTGGGAGTAGCTCCGTATGGTGATTCTGGAGTTGGGAGCGCGATCGGAAGTGAATTCGGATGTCCGTGGAGCATTTTGGAGTCATTTGGCTAAAGATAGAAATTTGAAGGTTTTTGAGAAGTTTGACCGGAGGTAGACTTTTTGATATCGGGGTCGGAATCCGATTCCGAAAGTTGGAGTAGGTCCGTAATGTCGAATATGACTTGTGCGCAAAATTTGAAGTCAATCGGACGTGATTTTATTGGTTTAAACACCGGAAGTAGAAGTTTGAATTTCTAAAGTTCATAAAGCTTGGATTGGAGGTCGATTCGTGGTTTTAGCGTTGTTTGACATGATTTGAGGCCTCGAGCAAATCCGTAATGTGTTTTGGGACTGGTGGTATGATTGGTTGGGGTCCCGGGGGCCTCGGGTGGATTTCGGGTGGTTAACGGATCGAAAATGGAATTTTTGGAAGGCTGAAGTTGCTGGTTGCGTGTGTAACTGCACCTGCGAGAAAAGGGCCGCAGGTGCGGAGCCCAGAAGCGGCCCAATAGTCGCAGATGCGGTTTGGGCAAAAGGAAGCTGGGACCGCAGATACGGTCGTTTGGCCGCAGAAGCGGGACCGCATCTGCGGGAATGGAAGCGCAGAAGCGAGAAATGGGAGCCTGGAGGAAACCGCAGAAGCGGTGGGCTGGCTCGCACCTACGGAACCGCAGAAGCGGTCAAGGGACCGCAGGTGCGGAAAGTGCTGGAGGCAGAGAGGTGTTTTAAAAATCGTGATTTGGCCATTTCTCTCATATTTTCTTGGCTTGGGCGGTTTTTGAGAGAGCTTCAAATGGGATTTTTCAGTATCAACGATAAGGTAAGCTAATCCCATCCATCTTGAGTTAAATACATCGATTATGTATGGATTTTAGCATGTAAATTGGTAGAAATTTGGGGTTTTGGTAGAAAGACCTAGAAATTGATATTCTTGGAATTCGACCACAATTTTGGGTATGGAATTAAGAGAAAATTTTGTATTCGAGTTCGTAAAGCTATGGGTAAACTTAATCTTCGAAAATTTTGGAAATTTAGGCACGTGGGCCCGAGGGCATTTTTGTCAACTTTCCGATCGGGGTTAGGAATTGTTATAAATTGGATTAATATGAGTAGTTTATCGTATATTATGAATTTGCATAATAATTGGCTAGTTTTGGGAGTATTTAGCATCGATTCAAGTCTTCGGAAGGGCGTGGACTGCCGGTTATGGATCTTCGGAGCGAGGTGAGTCTCCTTTCTAACCTTGTAAGAGGGAATTGTCCCCATATGTGAGTTAATTGGTTATGTGCTCCTATCTGCGGGGGCTACGTACGCACGAGGTGATCAGAGTCCGTGCATAGCTACTATTATGCTTAAGTCCGGGTAGTCTAGGACCCAGGAGCATGCTTACTTGTAACAAATGCAACCTTATTGACAAATCTAAAATGCTTGAACATATTGAACGTGTAAATGAATTTCTAATAGACTAGATATCAATTCTTGACTTTTAAAAGAGAAACTTGCCTTTTTCTGAATAATTGCTCCTTGACGAGTTATTGACTTGACTATTTGAATGTGTTTATCTGTTGTGGAACGGGATGAACGCCTCGGTAGATTAAATAGATGCATCTATGGTTCGCGCCATTCGACCCTCTGGCAGTGCACAGTTTAAATATTGTTGGATCGGGCCGTACGACCTCGGCATGAGTTGCGCATGCTTGTATTGCTTGCCTTGATATTTGTTGATACTAATATCTGCTCTCCCCGACTTGAGATAATTGTTAATTAAGGGATTATGAATCCGGAGACTTTAAATAAAAAGGAACTTTCACCTGTTTAGTGACGCATTTAAATTTTACTATTGTTCTTGATAAATCCGTGAGTCATCGCATTAATAATATTATTACTGGACCTTTAGTAAGTGTCGAAGTTGCCATCTCGTCTCTACTTCTTCGAGATTAGGCGGGATACTTACTGAGTACACATTGTTTTTCTACTCATTCTACACTTCTGTGCATTTTTGTTGCACATGCACATGCGCTACTAATGGCTTAGCAGGCGTAGCAGCATGGTTGACACGGAGACTAGGTGAGCTGTATTTCCTCGAGGCGACCCGCAGCTAGTATAGTCTCTCTCAGGATTCTATT